TCTTAGAAAGTACATATAACTCGGAAAAAGTCACATTGGTACTTGGCGTTGGTAGGTTTCGAACCCGCATCTTCAAGCATGAGAAAAGGGCGTCTTAAACCTCCGGGACACCACGACCTCGCTGACTGGATTGTAACTTGTACCCAATAGGAACATTCACCGTTTTGCTAACTCCTTCGGGAATTAAGTACCTACCTAAGAAGCGATAAAAGACGTTATTTTGTACACACAAAACAAGGATATCCTACATCTTCTACATAATCTTGAACTTGAATTATCTCATAATGCATCGTGATGGGGTATCTTGTCAGACCAATTATTTTAATCATATTACCATCTACACGTCTCCTCTATAATTACTAGGTTAGCGATTAAATGGCAGATAATAAACATTATTATTTAATAAGTATGTACCAGGATACTTGCATTATATTAGCAACAGTAGCTTGAAGATGTGAGCGTATTTTTAACTCGAGAATAATATATTTGGATAGGTTCGATTGAGTAAGTAGGTACCTAAGTAGGTTCACCAAAATAGGGATTGCAAGATTAGCGCATCGACTCTTACGTAACTTGTTTTTCGAATACCGAATTCCTGATTTCCGGACAATTCTTTACTATTTTTTTTTTTTTTTTTTTTTTTTTTTTTTTAAGGGGGGAAAATCATCGAATGACTACACCCGCCTGGGTGAGGCGGAAGGGAGTGTCAGACTCTTACTGACTAAAAACCACCCCGTTCCTTCTCCTGCACGTCGAGCCGGAGCCCCGGTTACCCGTTAGGTTCTCCGCGACTCCGAATCGGCATCGGCCCTATTGGGCCCCATCTGTGGTGGTCTGATGGCTCTTTGAGGCGCGCGCGGAACGCGACGCGCCGTACGCTCGGGTCTGTTTCTGGTCGGACGGGGAGCCACCCAAGCTCGCCGTCCGCAGGCCCGCGCTTACGGTGGCCGGAGATCGTCCCGCGATCCCCGACGCCCGGTGTGTCCTTCGCGATGGCTGGGTTGCGAGGAGGCAGCGCTTCGCTGCCTCACGCGTCCCGCCTCCTCCTTAGCTAGCATGACTGCTTCGCAAAAGGAGGAGACGGCATCCCAATCCCCCTCGCTCCGCATCATGGCCTGCACTAGGCCCGGACGCGAGAGGTCGCCATCGCCGATCACTTCCCTGAGGACACGGCGGTGCTCAGCCCACGAAGGGCATTCTCCCACCGTGTGTTCCACCGTGTCCTCAGGGCGGTCCTCGCAGTGATGACACCCGGGCGTTTCCTCCCGCCCCATCAGACACAGGTACCTCCCGAAACTGCCATGTCCGGTGAGGACCTGCGTCAGGCGGTAGGTGAGGACGCCGTAGCGTCTCTCAAGCCACTCCTCAAAGAGGGGACTTACCGCTGCGATGGCAGCGAGCCCAGCCCTCGGTTGCGACAGTCGTTGCTGCCATTCCGCCATGAGATCGCGCCGGAGCTCATCCCGCCACGCACTTATCTGGCGCGGCAGCGGAGTTTCGCCCCGGCGACGTGCCTCCGCGCAATTCTTTACTATTAGACTTATACAAATTGAAAAAACAACAAACAAAGATACATACAAAGACTAAGTAGTCTTTAAAGTTTTGATTAAACAACAATAATATCTAGATATTTTCGCGGTCTACTGTGTGCGTACGCGGTGCAACTACACTTCAGTGAATCACAGACATATTGTATCTCTTTGTGATATGTTTAATTAAATTGCTCTTGGAGATGACAAGTTAATGGTACTACTTATTAATTACAGATACAAAGGTTAAAGGAAGATAAAATAGATATAGTAAAGTACCTGAGGTACTTTTTGTCGAACTATAAGGTGTTGAATGTGATCTGAATTTCATTGTATCATTGTAGGAAATTGTATTACACAGCACACCAAAATGGCGGGAGATTCCCCTGATTTCCTGTTGATTTTTATTGTTTTTATTTTTCCTACTATTTGTTATTGAAAGCCTACATAGAATAGGGAGAAAGAAGATGGAGTCCCAGCCGAAAATAACGAAACTTAGCTGCTAGGCTTAGATAGCCGTAGATATATCTCCTGTGAAAACATATTATATTATCTAATCGCCCATCTGGAATGGGCGCATTTCTAGAATGTCAAACATGAATATGTTGACGAACAGGGAAATGACATGAGCCTGGAATTTGCAGTAACCTGTATGTATCTACTTTTTACCGAATTCAAAAAAGGAGAAGGTACTATGTTCCATTTGTACAGTAGCATTAAATGCCGAAATGTGCACCTCTGCCTACCCCTTCCGGGATAAAAAGGCGTGATGTTATGTATGAATGTATGTTCGGTTGATTGCTTTTTTTTATTTGTTCACCGATTACTCCGCCGTTTATGAACCGATTTCCAAAATTCTTGTTTTGTTTGAAAGGTAATTGTACCTGTTCTACAAGTCTTTAATATACGTAAATTACTGTCAAAATTATCAACTCCAAACTCGACTTGTTTAACGAAAATTTATCTTACATGTCATTTCATTATCAGGCAAAACATTGTCAGGACAAATTGCAACCATGATGAAAAAATTATTTTGTTTTATGTGTCTGCAATGTCAAAAAGTGTTAGTGAAATTATAAAAAACTACAGATGGATCTTCGTTCGATCGTAATCTATGAATGACCAGCAAAAACAGTGAATAGAAGATAACAATTTCAGAACCACGACTACGGTAGTTTATCGTATTTCTACTAGTAACACTTAGATAAAAGAATTTGTCATCTTATCTTATACTAATCTTGTATATCTTCTAAAAGAAAGTATTAGTTACACTATTTATAACTCATGAACCGCTAAACCAATGTGGATGAAAATAGGTGGGGAGGTAGCTTAGAACCAGGAGACGGACATAGGATACTTTTTATTCAATACGTATTATACTTTGTAAGCTAGTTATTAGGTACCTATGTATATAAAGCTGAAGAGTTTATTTGTTTGAACGCGCTCATCTCAGGAACTGCTAGTCCGATTTGTAAAATTCTCTTTGGGTTCAACAGCCCATTTATCGAGGAAGGTTATAAGCTATAAAACATCACGCTACGATCAATAGGCGCCGAGCAGAGTGGCTAGTAATTAACTTCTGTATCCCCGATTATGAAAAATCTACAACATTTGTTCATACCAAAATAGTCTCTAAACACCGGAAATACGGTCTATAATGGTGTAAGGGGACAGCGATCACCGGGGACCGCTTGAGGACTGGGCAGATGAAAAGTTAGTCAGTTGTATTAACACAATCGGTTACTGACAGATTGTCGATAATGTATAAATCAATAGAATAGATTGCAAAGTTCATTACATTCTGAAGTATACATTACTATATTCTTATATGAATAGAGATAACCATCGTGGTCTACCGTAGGTACCTATATTAATTTAGGCCGCCCTCACACCTATTCTCTAGTCCGTTTTATTTAGGAGAACCTCTTGAGTAAGGTTTTATACTTTCATAACAATTTAACCCTTTGACTGCCGACAGAAAACTGCTGAAGGCAAATCCTCCGCTAACGCAGGTCATCGGTGACCTACGAGGCGATTATCGTGTTAAAGAACAATAGGTTGCGGTCACCGGTGCCCGCGGTGTTTGACAGTTTAAGCAGCTTTTCAAATTTTAAGGAAGATCTCGTCTTCTTAGAGTTACAGGGTCCCTGAAAAGAGTTTGAAAGTCTTGAGGGCTCTGCTACCTCGTCCTCATTAAGAAGAGAAAGGAAGTCAGTTGGAGATTACTTGATTATTCCAACACTGGAGACAAGTGCAACAATAAGTGAATCTCTGCAAGTAGACTACCTACAGGGAAACATTTTTACACGTCTTGAGAAACTAAGTAAAAGTTGCACTGAAAAATTTAAACGTCATGACGTAAGTTGAATTTAAAGGCATTCATAATTATCATCCTTTATTATTTTGCAACGTAACAGATACGTAAGCATGACATCTCGTGGTGGACGTCACGAATGATAGTATTGTCGTAATGCTAGGTGAGCGCTGTACCTGGTATGTCGAATAATCAGGAGCCCGCATCGCCAGTGCAAACCGTTACGTCAGAAATAAGAATGTTTGAATTTTAAGGAAAATTTGGAATATTTGGATCACACATGATGGTTTCCTGCTAGGATATCAGTCCAAATATGCCTCCAAAGAAAGAGACAAATCGTCGGGCCAAGAGATTAGGTAGTAGGTACTTCTTGCTTATAGTACTATTTTTGATCACTGGATCATAATATACTGACCTTACTACTTGGATATATTCTTTGTCTCTTTTTATCAACTAGGTACGAAGAATGTATCTGATTTTTTTTTAAGGGGGGAAAATCATCGAATCACTTCTCCCGCCTGGGTGAAGCGGGAGGGAGTATCAGACTCTTACTGTCTAAAAACCACGACGTTCCTTCTCCTGCACGTCGAGCCGGAGCCCCGGTTACCCGTTAGGTTCTCCGCGACAAGATGTCTCTGATTAACGGACCGTTCTTACACGAGAAATGTAGCAATTAGGCAAGTCGGTTGATTTGGATTTTGGAACCCCCAGAACTTGGGGCGATGAATGATTGCTATTATTATCATATCAGCCTTAAGATATATATATGATCAACTGCTTAACATTCATAGTTCGTTGTTCTAAATAAATATCTAAATAGGCAAGTATGAAGATAATTATATGGTCTTTTATACCCCCGTATATGCTGAGCCACTACCATATTTATCATAAACCATCTGGAAATTCTGCCAAGTTGTTAACGTCACAAAAATTTCCATTTTAAGGTAACTACGTAAGACATTCTTATCCTATAAACAAAGTACATCATTAAAAGTTCCTACGCAAAGGGAAAAAAGTCAAACAATGACGATTTAAATTCCCAAGGATGTTCATAACAGCAATGCGATTATTACGCAGAGCTGAGCAGAATAAAAATCGAGAATAGTTGTAACAAAGGAGACAAGTCTTTGTATCGATTTAAATCGATATTATTCAAGTATTAAACACGAGTGGAGGACAACACTTGATAAGTTAAATTGCTGCCTTTTATTACACTTGACGGATTATCAAAAGGAAACGGACCGATATTACTGGTTCGTTAACAATTAGTACCTAATACGAAGGTATATAAAATAAAACGGTGCCCTCCCAGTGATAGTGCGCCACTCGGCTACAAGTGCAACAGTTAACCGTACAGTTAATCAATCAATTATGGATTACAAACTCGGTAAGGATATCATTGGCACAGTTCTTTATTTAAATAGTTTAGCACTGTTCTGTTTTTATTGTCTATGTGTTTTTTAGTTTTTTTTTTTTTTGTAAAGTGTCTTGTTTCACATATTTTTTTTTGCAACATTTTAGTGATTTTGCACATTGTGCACGTGCTTATTAAATAAATCACAATGGTCGTAAATAGTTGTACAACGTGACTCACGAAAGAAGGATCCTGGGGGTTTATGATCATTTTTGAGACAAAGAATTTTACCATAGTAGGAAGGCAGCTTCGTAATAGGAGCATCAAGCATAATGAAAGTCGCTCCTTGACTCTTTCATTGCCTAAATAGTTTAACTGTCCTTTCAAAAATATCTAGATAAACTTAGTAGACAGATACAACAAGGAGGAAAAATGTCTTCAATTTTTATTCATAATTACAGAAATTATCTAGTTGTTAATGACTGGCCAGGTAGTTCCAATTCCCACGTTGCATCATAAAAGTTATTGCTTCAGAGAAACATTTAAATAATTCTATTCTGTGTTTACAAAGTCATCATAATCTCCATAACGTTTTTCTTTTTAAACAGTTTTTTTCGTCGCTTTGATGATGGCGTCAGCTATGAGTGCCTCGCGGGGTCCATCTTGCCCCTGTCCAAAAATATACATGCCTGTGTGTGCTATGGTGTCCAATCGTAAAACCACATTCAACAGCATGTGTGAATACCAATGCGAACAAAACTTCGTCTTACACAATGGAGGGACCATGGAGTTACTTTACACTGGATCACGGTGTCAATAAGCTGTACCGCGTCTTCCCTTTGCCTAACCTTACCTCTCTTTGTTTTTAAATATATTTTTTTTTATTTACAGCACAGAGTTTTTTTTTCACTTTTTGTAATGTTGCCAGAGCACTTATTTATTTTTATATTAATTTATTATGTATTTATTTTACAGCAATGTTTATATCGCAAATTAGATAGATAAGTAGGCTTTGCACTTATCCTCTAATTAAACAAGAAACACACAATGGTATCTATTATTTTAAAGTCGAACTGAATTTGTAACACACAAGTTTTAACGCATAATTTCTGATTGGGCAAACCCAATAGACCTGATAGGTCCTAAGGCCAACCAAGGAGATAAACCACGAATGCTGTGTGGGCTGTTGAACGGTAACGCATCCACAGCCTGCTCTAGACAAACATAGTAGTTCAATTAAAAGCAATAGTAGATAGGTATCTACCATGTTACCTTTAGGTACGCGCTCTTAAGCATTTCAAACTAGTTTTGTTATTGCTCCAGCTGTTTTCCATAAACATACCACTTAGATATCACAACACGAAAACAATTATCTAATTCGGACTAGCAGTTTCTGATATTCCCTACCTTTAGAAAAATACTATAACGGAAAATGCGCCAACAATACAATATTTATTTATTTAATACAAGAATCTGCAATTCTGCATTGTTTGCAATCCATCATTAGCACCATACCCACCAATTCCCGATTGCACTGCAGCACTAAGGCACCGAGCGAGTATTATGGGAGCGAATATGATGTATGTAAGTATAACCTACAGTTAAGGCTCTGACTGCCAATAGAAAACTGTTGAAGCCAAATCGTCAGTCACCTGTGACCACCACCATGGCGTTTAACGTATTAAAAAACTGCGTGATTAACTGCCGTATACTCAAAGATATAAGTACTTAAACTATTCCTAAGTACCGATTTTGTTCCAAAAACAATTGCTTAGGACTGGGGTAACTGCTAAATATCTCTGAATATGGCGTACCTACTCTGAGAAAAGTCGATAGAAAATAAGCTGGTATCTATATTTAATCTTAGAATCTGATGGATTCTAAATTGAATATAACTGGTAACAATGGGACCTACCGTGTTTTTGCTCACCAGATGTCGTTAGTGTGAACCTCTCGTTCTTCGTCCAATATCCCTATTGGACGAAGAACTTTTGTTTTGGAAGAAGTCTTTAAGAATTGGCTAGTGTCACGGCATAGCACGTTCAATATTTGACAACTATGATTGGACAAAAAATATCTTTCTACATTTACGCCATCCGGTCACCAAAAATACAGTAGCCCCCATTAAAAGCTCACTAACCGTTACATTATAAAGCTATCGGTGTTCCGAATTAAATCTGAAAATTGCAAAAATCGAAACCCAAATAATGCTTTGTTCAATCTGGAAATACAAACAGAAACCTTCTAGGCTTTTCTATAACTATAAATTCGAATTTTTGAAGTGATCTTGATCGCGGTCCGTCATGTCATTGGTTGAGACTATTCTCCCAACCAATGACAGTGAGTGATGAGTTCAACTCGATCCTTCAAATTGAAAGTAGAATAGCCTAGGTAGACCGTCAACCACACATCTGTTTAACATAGGTAAGTATACGATAGATGTACTAAATGGGTCTTGAATACTCTAAACACTTTACTATATCAAACACACATACGTGTGTGTTACATTTCATAGTAAACTTTTCATTTGTTTTTTTGTTTTTTAGTCATATTGTTGTATTGTTGTCATAGTAAACTGAGTTTACTGACGAGTATTTACTTTGACTTGTGTGACTGTAAATTGTACTACTACAACTGGGTACACTATAATATACATATACTAGCAGGGTTGCTAGGTACTTTGTATATCTACCTTATAAGCCCATGTAGGGTTCACACACCCACTTCAGTCAGATATAATGCCAGAACAGATCATCATCATCATCATCATCAGATATATACACTAATACACTAACTATAAAATCTCCTAATAAGCACGTCAATAACGCCTAAGTTTAAGCTAAGTTACTCTGAAATAAAATCTCTTCAATTGTCTTTCAGTTTTCATTTTTGTCGTGGTGGCTTTCCTAGCCACGGTATCGGAGGCTAAGGGACCAAGCTGGACTGGGGTCGACTGTATATGTACCACGGAGTATGATCCGGTCTGCGGCTCTGACATGGTCAGGTACAGCAACTACTGCGTGTTCAAATGCAGGGTCCAATACCTGAAGGACAAAGGCCTCCCGCCCATCTACCAAGTTCCTTGCTACGATCTACCTCCACTCTTTGGATAAAATGCTTGGCAGTTACTGATGTGATGTAAATTGTGAACCACTATTCGTTAACTATTCTTATTAAACGCTGAATTGTAATTTTCTGGTTTCATTTGTTTTGTTTGTACCTAATTTCTTTTGTAATGGGGTCTACACGATTGGGGTAGTGCCACAATCAATTGGTAAGGACATAATCCTAGAATAGATCTTATTTAAAAAGAATAATCATGGTAGGTGTGTAATACCTACTTTGTAAAAGCTAAAAGCTGACAGAAAGGAGAAATACACCCAACTGCCAGCCCAGTAACTTATAAGCAAACAACGTAATATCATTGTAAAAATTACGGTTTCATTAGACGAAACTTCATTTCATTTCTAAAAAAATGAGGATTATAAAATTCTCTAGATAGGAGGGCATACAAAAATCTGTGAGTGATCATAGCAGTGATGCCCCAGATGTGGTACTTCCCGCCGGCGTACACAGGCACTACCACTCCATCGTACCTGCAGTGACCATGATTGAAAGGGTCGCAGAGTAATCTCAAAGGAACTGTGAACACATCTGCTATATTTTCATTTGCTTTCACCTTAGACATGTTAAAGTTTGTTAGTTCACCAATAACAGGAGTGACTGCTATATTAGGTCCTCGGCTTAAAACTTGTCCCATTTTGGTCCAAAATTTGATGTCACGAATGCCGATATCTACGTACGTGTGATATGCAGCTGCTTCGTAAACTGTTTCGTCTCTGAGTACTTTGCCACCGCCAGGGAATGTGACCTTGGTGCCGGAGCAAGGCATGACATCAGATCTCTTGGTGTACAACAGACACACTTCATGATTGACCACACACAAGGGTACTAGGAATGTGTCAGTGTGGTAAGTTGGCCCGCCACGTATGTCTATCGACGGTAGTTTCTTAATGTTACATATACAATTTTCTCGCCAACAACTGGATAGAATTACTTCGGGACAGAACCACATGAGTGTTTTCAAACTTGAGAGTACCGGGCTGAGGTAGACGCCCATGGTAGTTACCTTACTTACTTCGCAGGACTATGCATTTGTTTCATTTTAATAAATTATGTTTTTGTGAGGAAACTTCTGTTTTTAATAAGATATCAATATCATATCATCATGTTTATTGACAAACTCACATGTCAATTGATACTCCGATTATTTTATCTATAGGTAACAAAAAGGCTCTATTTGAAGTAGAATGAATAGATTGGTGTTTTTCATTCGTTTATTTCTTGGTCTATTCCATTTTGCATACAAGGACGTTGAAAAAAGCTTGCATACTTACCTAGATGTTTTCTGAAATATTAAATTGCTATAAAAATATCGGAAGGGGTCGGCCCCTCAAAGGCATTCATAGCAATATCGACAAGATAATCAACGTTTTATTAACTATAGGGTCTTGTATGGTGTTTAAAAAAATTGACGTAAATATAAGTATTAGTATAATCAGCAGTTATGTAGGTATTTCTTGGCAGTAATAGCTTTTTTATGGCATAAGCTGGTAAACGAGCAGACGGATCACCTGATAGTAAGCAATTAGCGACGCTCATGGACACCTGGAACACCAGGGGCGTTACAAGTGCGTTACCGGTTTTTGGGAATTTGGAATTTGAGGATTGTGGGGGATTCTGGGGATTGGGAAGACTCGGGAGGAGGGGGTAATTGGACCTATGGTAACTTCACTCACACGACGAAACACAACGCAAGCATTGTTTAACGTAAGGTTTTCTGTGGGCCGTGGTATCGCTCCGGTCAAGCTGGCCTATTCCTACCGAAGCATGGTTCTCTCACACTTAAAAAGGTGTGGTAATAGTTCTTACTTATTACTTATGTTGTATTGTTGAATACGTTTTTCACGTAGGGTCTAACCAATAGCAATATGCTATTCTGCAACTTTATGGGCAGCGCATTTGCCAACACTTTTGTCGAGTTAGGGAATATGAAGTAGGAACCTACTTCATTTCGTGGTTGGTTCGATGCCAATATGCCGATTTGAAAATATCAAAAATGACCTAGTAGAAAAGGACAACACATTAAACGCTGGGAAGGTCTTAAGTATACAAAAAAAGACGATCTATAGGCCACCTGTTTAATGTTTTCATGTGCCTAGATAAGTTAATAGTCTAGATAGACCATCATGCTTATCTTGCTAATAATGGGTGGTACGATTTACCGATCAATACAGTATCGAGATAAGATAACAGAGAAAACATGATTAAAATTAGCAGTTGATATGTTCATATATTTATTATAACTATAAATATGTCTGACATAATACACTATGTGTACTTATTTTATAAATAACTTATCACCACAGAGATTGGTTTATTTTCTAATATACAACAGAATCTTATCACTTGCTGATAGTGGAATAGTCTGCAAAGAGGTTTTGTGCACATGTTGGTACTCTTTACATAGACAATTTAATATATGAAGAACTAATGAGGTTTTGAATGTAATTAATAGCTCAGCACACTGAGTATACAAACAGTGTATATCCTAGCTAACATTTTAAGCAAATTGAGTTGTATGATGCACATTATATAATTCAATTTGCATCTACAGTGGCAGAATTTCTTAGAGTTGGTCAATACCACTTTTTTGCACATAATTTAATGTGATCAGCTATCACTTATTAATTTTTTTTTAAGACAGAATGGACTTTGCAATCTATATCTATATAATGAATACCAACATCTGCATCTACTTAACATTTAAATACTGACTGTAAAAACTGATTACAACAGCCTCCTATAAACACTGGGTCCTGCCCACCATAATGTAATTTAAAATAATATATAAAAATAATTTGATTTACAGATAAATAACTTCTGAAACAAAGATTAAAATATCTAAGAACATTGCAACAAAATAAAAACAAATAAAAACCGAGACTATGTGTTTGCATTTTCATTTAAGTCGTTTTCAGTTCTTAAAAGGTATAAGCTTAAGTTAATATTATACCTGCACCTCATCAGTTACCTTTTTATAAGATTAGTCCTATTGTACTTCACATAATTTACATTATATGTAACTATTAAATATTAATTATGTACTCTGATATTCTATGCTATAAAAGCTGATTACACAATATAGGATTTCTTACAACAGTTCCTAGACCCATGTATAAAGAATAAAAAAATATTTGAAATTGTCTATTCATTTTCCGGTTTGTTTATAGCTTTGCAGGCAACAACTCATGGAGTTTATATTCTTTTTTTAAAAAGTCTGGACAGTAAAGTTCTTTTGGCAAAAAGGAATTCAGGAACATGTGTGTGATTATTCCTGTGATGCCCCAAACTGTGTGTTTGCCACCATTGTAAACCGGTATGGCATAATTATTGTATTTATAGCAACCATGATTATTTGTGTCACAGAAAACTTTCATAGGAATTGTAAATATATCAGCTACTTCACCTTCATTTGGGGTCAACTTCTTCATATCAAAATTCATAATTTCGCCTACAACAGGTGTAATCAACATGTTTCCATCTCGACCTTGAACTTGGTTCATTTTGGTCCAAATATTTATGTCTTTGGCAGGCACACCTATTTCCTCTTCCGCTTCTCTTAATGCAGCATCGTATACGGTCTCGTCCTTGTCAATTTTCCCGCCTGGAAAGGACACTTGACCACTGTGTGAGCTTAGATTGCTGGATCTCAAAGTATACAAAAGACAGACCTCACTGTTATCCACACATACAGGTACTAAGACAGACGCAGTGTGCTTCGGGTTTCCACCTCTTACATTGAAGGACGGTAATTCACTTATGTTAGAAATACACCTTTCTCTTGCTGCACTAGATAACAGAATTTCTGGAGCTAGAGACATGCTTAATTTGATAACTTTGTGAACAGACTTCATTCAAATATATGTAAATTATCACTGAGGGTAAAGTCCAACAAACGTCAAAACCTTGATTGTTATTGCTTATATTCATGAAACAGTTACTTAATGTATTTTTATTTTATAATAGGAGATAAATATACAAGGAGCAAAGGTTAGAACTGGCATTTTGACGGTAAAGTATTGTCAATTTATTTTGACGTATGATCAGCTGTTTGCGCGAAAAAATGCCCATAGAGTATATATTACGTGATTGCGCGTAAAGGAACGTAAAACGTTAGCACGAAGGAAGTCGTGTTTGTAATAAATATTATAGATTTTGATTAAGAACTGTTTGTATGTAGGCCGTTAAAATGCATTGTTAGTTCAAAGTGGTTCAATATAAATAAAACAGCTAGAAAACTGTCAAAGTCGGTATAATACTTTTGATTGGAGATATGTAAGAAAACAAGATAAAAAATATACAGAAATTTTAGTATTAAAAATTCAATTACAGTATTTATTTGTGATATACTCCTTTGAAAATGGCGCGAATATCATTTGGCATACAAAATATATTTTCAATGGCCGCTCGAGAGCGTTGTATGACTAATTTCAAACGCTTAGCGACACCAAGGTACGGCAAAGTGCCAAGTGATGCTGCAGCTGTGTTAGTACCAGTATGTAAAGTGGAAGAGAAACCGTCCATACTATATACAGTTCGGGCCACGAACCTTAGGACTAACAATGGAGAAGTATCATTTCCAGGTGGGCCAATACCCCAAAATGAATCTCCTATACAAACAGCTCTAAGGGAAACGTTTCAAGAAATCGGTTTACGCCCTGACAAAATAGATGTCTGGGGAAATGGGCCGCCGCTTCCAGGCCGCAATAACAAAATAATGATCACTCCGGTAGTTGGGTCCATAGACACTCTGGCGCCAGAAGATTTAAACATTAATGTTGGCGAAGTTGCAGAGGTATTCACTGTCCCTATTGAGCTATTGTGTGAACCCAAGAATCAGTATTACACACAATTCAGTAACGGATTCGTCCTACCGGTGTTTGTGGTCGAGGAATACAAGATATGGGGTATAACTGCGTTTATAACTCACGCATTCTTGAACTCCGTACTTAGCAACGACGTTTATAAAAATGAATGGACGAAGAAGAAAATCGTGGTAGACAAACAATAGACAAGTTCTATAGTACGTTAACTAGAGTTCTATTCTTTAGTCTGTTGTATTTATTTTGTTATTTATAGTATTTAGCTACATATTTTATTTGAAAATAAAGAAATTATATTTTTATAAATATTTATTGTGTAAAAGCTACTTTTATCACATTGATATACACATAGCAAGTCGTCACAAGCGTTATACTAAAAGAAGCAAGGCACAGAAGCGTGAATATTTAGAATTTGGTAATATTTGAGCAGTTTCGTAATATTAGTTTAGGTAATCTAAGAGATATAAAATAAATAGAAAAGGAACTCATAAGAAAGAAAAAAAAATGAAACAAAACGAAAAGAAAATATTATTATCCAGGTTTATTCCTTAACATTTACATTATAATCTAGTCATTATTATTTTATACATTGTCCAATCGACATGTTGGTCGTCTCTCGCCCTTGTCGCTTGTGTGTGTACTACGCTAATATGTATGGATTTCACCAAATGTGTAACAACTATTTTAGGGGGCCAATTGTTTTTCAAACTAAAACAAATCTCCCACAAAACTGAGAAGCCAAAAGTTTATTACATAAATAGGTGGTTCAACTTAAAGCCTCACTTCTAACATTCTATTGAAGGTTTATAAATATAATTAAAACAAACATGAAACAAAGGAACTGAAAATGTAAATAAAATAAGTACATTCTTATTACAAAACATACCTTCTCAAGGTAACATAGGCTAAGCAGGCAAGAGCGCTCACAAATTTATTTGATTGTAGTATATCAGTTGTACATGTACGAAACGACAGTTACAGTAGGCAGAGGTATGAAAAAACAAAATGGCGACGAAACTGATCTCATTAAACCTAAAAAGACGACGTAGTCCAGAGTGAATAAAACAAAATAGGTAGAATACTGTGGAGCAACCTTAGCAACTATTGTGAATATAATACAACAACACATCCTGGGCATTTATTCGTTGTGTTTGAACACTGAAACTATACTAAAACTAAATTAAAAAACTTGTATAATATTATTTTTTCATATACAGAAAAAGGTACACTGCAATTTGTAAAGTTTGATGCAATATGGTTAAAAATCCACATTATAATTTGTTCATCTCCTCTGCCAAATACACTTACATCAATAGTAAAAAATGCACATTTTATTATGTTTTAAGGCTCCAAGCTATTTTATCCAAATACTAATGGCCACAATAACTTCTAACAATTTTAAAATAACAAAAACTGATCTGCCGAAGATGTCACAAGTAAATGTAATGGTATTATTCCAAAATAATGTCCAAACATATAATAAATAAAATCCACATTAACCTATTATTTTCTCAACATGTATTCATAAAACTTAATTCCGATTGCACCAAACCATACATACAATCTCATAGATTTTAAATCTAATGAAATAGACCAATATTAAACAAAAAAAAAACGAATTTAATACAAAAATATAATTTCCATAAATGAATTTGTTTGTTGGCATCATCCGTGACATTGATAACTTTCTATAAAAAAAAACTGTAGAAAAAAGTCAAGATGACAAATGTCACGAGGCGCTTGTCGCTGTATCGTAATGGCGTGGGTCAGAGTCGGCATCTATGTAGTGGGGTTCGGTATTACACCGAAAATTAAATTCTCGACACTCCGTCGCGCATCACTTATTCACTAGCAGCTGGCTACACAACAAAAAACTGTTATAGTCTGTTCTTATTATCACATTTTATAGAAGAACAACATATTAAAAACCGTTTAAAAATGGAGGGAAATAAAAAAATTGGGCGCCATCTTTGTTGTGTGGCCAGTTGTTGGTGCGCTGTTGAATTTTGGCAACATTATTTTGAATGCAACATCAATGCATAACATCTTGCGGTCAGGCGATGGTGGTATAATTTAGAAAAGTTTATCGCCTACTATTGTACCAAGGCATTTGCGCGGCCGAGGCGAGTTTACTCGGCGTTGCTGTTCTCGCTCACGTCGATAGGGATTGACGTCGTGAACGTCGGCGTCTCGAGTTCTTCGTGTTTCTTCATTTTCAGCGCCTGTAATGATACACACGGTTAGTATTTTATTCGAATGTTTTTCTCAGCTCTGGTATGGGTCAGTTATAGCTGGCAGCAATGCCAATTAGTTTGTACTAGATTAAAATATTAATAAAATAAATCTAACCTACAGAAGAATTTGGTACCCAATACTAATCCGAATAGTTTTTTATATTCAAATGAGTTTGATTGCAGCAGCAGTTTCTTCTAAGCAAGCCTTTTTAGTTTCAATGTTCTTTTCGACTATACCTTGTACAAAACCTAATTGTTTAATTAGGAAAGATTCCATCTCCCGACTAGACAAGTTTAGCGTTTAGAGAGATTGGATCACGTTTCCATATTGTATCTTTTTAATCTTTATATTTACAGTAAGTTATGGGATTAGATAAAACAACAAACAAATACCACAACCTTCCACACACCATCACAGCAAGAAACAAAATGCTACACTAACCACCGATTTCTGGAAGGCCAGTAAATATAATACCGGGTTTACACAATCACCTAACCTTACTAGTAAGAACTTACCTCTATCTGATATCGTTATTAAAATAGTTGTTGTAATCTCAAGCTGCCAAGCTAAGCAGACTTCAAAGCGAGTTGTAACTAACTACGGAATTATGTTTATTTCGATGTTTTCCTGGACTAAAAATAGACTACTCTAAAAAATAATGCCTCCATTTTCTTTTGTGTAAACCCAGTATTAAATTTATACTTTTGCTATTGGTCAATTTCGCTGTCGAAAATTTAAAAATCGTACGACCAATTCAAATGCCATTCAGTAGAAATTAGCATCTGAGTATTAGGGGGTCTTGCTAACAAAAACCGGAGGTATTACCATAAAGTATGTAAGCTTGTTTTGAATTTAATGCGTAACCTGATTTAATTAAAATATTTACATAATCAGGTTCTTAGCACAATTTTCACTATTTTCAAGTATACCTAATGAATTTTGAGATGCTTAGGGTTGTAACAGACATTTTAAAACAGAGGATTCTTGTTAAATTATTATTTGGATTATTTGTTTTTTTATTGAGTCGTCTTTTGTGTGAATTAATTTAAAACTTTTTTCTATTCTGGATCCTAATATTCTGTTGTATTGTGCCGCTTCTGGTTGGCTTTAGATAAGAACATGCGAACTCCGTTACAAACCCTTGTTAAAAACTTTCATGCCAATTTGTTTATTTCTTGAGACACTCATGCCTTAAAAACACTTGAAAGTAGGAAAACATAATGAATGCAGCCCGTAAACTAGGGTTTCATAGTTTAATAGCGATGAATTGTTATGTTTAAGAATCGATTAACGATTCTAATCGATAATGAGTAGTCGATTTTCATGGCTCCCAAGTACTGACGTGAACTTGAATATCGAGTAAAATTAGAGTAGCGTTTGCGATTTGTACATATGGCGTGCGTCTGACATAAAGATGGAAGTATGTTTTGTACCGAATGACTTAGGGATGTGACCAAACAATGCAATGTTATAGCACGTATGTCAGTGACGTCACGTTAGGACACCCGCGAACGTACCACATCCGTCGGTAACTCTTTCCGTTGCAGTGTGGGGGTCGGCGTCAGCACCAAACCTTTCGCCGATAACTGAAGGCGATAGTAACACGATAGAGGAAAGTATAGAAGAACCCAAATTACATAAATACTATGCTATCTGTGTCAATACACACTGTAGAAATACACATATATCTGTTTGTAAAGGCATGGCTACACACTTGCATGCGCAAAGTTTATTTAGATTGCGCAATTGCGCTACACCTAGCGCAAACAATTTTATAGTTATTTTGATCTTTACATATAAATTGATGCATGTTAGCCATGCCTTTAAAGCCTGATATAAAAATTGATGTCCCATAAAGAAAGGGCAGAAAGATAGCTCAATAGTGTTTCAAAACAGCGTGGTCTACGTGAGACTTAGTGTTAGGTGGGGATGTGCTTACCTGCTGCAGTTTATAATGGTTGATGATATCCTGGTCGGCGGGGCAGCTCTGCGTGAACGCGTCCAACTGGTACATGTGGTACATGTAACGCCAGAGGGCGCGGAAACTCGTCTGAAATTGTTAAACAACAATGATTAAATCGAATGGTTCCTATTGAATAATGTAAAGTTTTAAGTAAGTTCCAAATATCAATTTTAGTGCCTTTTAACACGTTAAACGTCACCGGTGACCGACGCTAGCGGAGGATTTATCTCCAATAGTTTTTTATTGGCAGTCAAAGTCTTAAGTAATTACTTATGTCATGGCTTAAAATTAAAACAACAAGCTTTAGAGGTACATACCGGTATCTCGAAGTCGACGAAGTACTTGCCGGCGACGCGGATGTGCTGCAGTCTTGGCATTAGCTCGCAGTCGAAACAGCACATTGTGTCCCCTGTTAAGAATCTGCAAACAACGACATAAAATAAAATTACATTACAATCTCGCAAGTGATGTAAAGTTTCACGGACACCACTAGAGAAAGGACCCTATGTTTTTCTAAAATGGCAAGACTACCGAACTGTAAACTGTGTGTCGTATTGAAAGTCTTAGCATCGTAGAGAGGATAGTTGAAAAACATAATAACACTTAAAACCGTGTATATATAATAGGAAACAAGTTAAAATAACATTTATATTCAATGCAATAAAGTGTATAATTACCTAGTCCCTCTGCGTTCAAGAAGACCATCGATGCGGCCGAGATGTGCGCGCAGGGCTGCCGACTTCTGCTCGTCTTTGCGTACCAGCACCAACTTCAGCTTGGAATACAGGTTCTCGATCAGTGAGGCTACTTCCTTATCCTGGAATATAAATGTAGCTATTTGTTTATCTAAAACTTTACTACTTAATTAGTATTATTATTTTAGATGTCGTTAGGTCTGTGTCGTTTGATTGTAATGCAATGTCAATTTTTTAGCTCTGGCAAGAAGTCGCACTTAGAGGAACGTAGGAAATAAAGATTTTGCAACTGCACATTCCTGGTTCCACCACTTGATGTAAAACTCGGGTTCAGTAAAGGAAATTCGAATACCACTAGCGAGAACCATGAAATGGATCTGAAACCTCATGTTCCACAATAACTAAATTAACAATAATAAACACAATGGACAACTCATCCCTAAATAACGGGCAACTAATTGTTTCCATCTGGTCTACACTGAAACAAAAGCGCTAAGCTCTACTCTACAAGACATCGTACGACCTATGAATAATTCATGGACCATAAAAAAAGATGCTTAGTGCCAAATTACTGAACACAATTCACCAGGAAACACCGTTTCTGAAGATTGACACCTAATTATCATGAGAAGCACATTTCGGGCGAGTTTTAGTAATAAGAAAAAACCGGCTGACCACATATTGGAGCCAATTTAACGGAGTTTAGGATATTATATGAGACTAAAGAGCTTTCGCATTAATTATGTGCTTGTTATAAACTTTTTGCCAGGTGTGCCGTTTCGGTGGGTGGAGCTGATTAGACTGTATTTCATAAAATGCTATTATTTTATTTAAAATCAATGGACCAGATTAGACAGATTACATTAAATTTCAATAGTTTGATAATTAATTAATTGAAGTAAAAATTGCATGCAGCCACTTTCTACTTCAGAGTTATTTAGCGCATAAACTATCGTCTTTATTAACTGCCAGAATTTCATATAAATAAGAAATACCACTCGATTTTATCGCTTGTAAAAGTTATATGATGTAGAAATATATTCCTGGTCACGGCGTCGGCCACATACTTCTACTAAATTTTGCAAAGATGAATAATAATACTACTAAAATATGTTTTAAGAATATTAGCAAATAATGTGTACATTCTACATTATGGACCACATTGGGCTTCAAAATTTCCTCTTTTCTCTCATATGGATCCTTACATTACTTATCGCTTGTCTGACTGGTAGCGTCTTAATAATTACTTAACGAAATTAAAAACGCTTCAATCATGATCAAAAGTCCAAGGGACTTTCCCCTCGATGATGGATCTTGATGAAAGTACCTTAGAATTTTGATCATGACTGAAGCGTTTCTTCATTATAGTTTAATTATACCTTACCTGTACAAATAAGTTGTGTCCTCCGGGTACCGACTTCATGATGTGCCGTTCAATTTTCTCGTTCTCCAGTATCGCCAGACCGTTGTCGATGAGTATAGGCGGGTGCGTGGCTTCGAAGTTGGTGCGGAAATCTGGTGGAGGCTTCTGCATGTCTACTGTAGTCACCTGTAAGAGGAGAAGTAATTTAGTAATAAGCAAACATGGTAAAAGGTAAGATATTTTGGGGGCGGAAATTAATCAAAGGACTCCTCCTGCTAGCAGTGAGGTGAGAGGGAGTATAACTCTCATTGAATAAAATCCATCTTGTTCCAACTCCTGTTTTATGTTGGGCACACGTTATCCATATGGCGACGTACCCGCGATCCCAGCAGGGCAACCTCTACTGGGCTCGCCTCGTCTGCTATTCTGACGGCTAATTCTACAGTTTCAAGGTCAAGGTTAGAACTTGGAAGCAATATCACTTCTATTTTGAACTGTTAGAATATTACCATTACTACCACGTGCGAACTAAATTCACGACAATCGAAATCCTTTTTTTTTGAGCTGGGAAACTTATCCAATGACTTCTCCCGCCCGTGTGAGGCGAGAGGGAATTATAGACTCTTTACTAACTAAAAAGCACCCCGATCCTACTCCTGCACTTTGAACCAAATCCCCGGTAACCGTATCGGTATCAGCCCTATGGGGCCCAATAATCTGTGGTGGTCTGATCTGATGGCTCTTTGAGGCGCGCGCGGAACGCGACGCGCCGTACGCTCGGGCCAATAGAAATACTACGATTACGATACATATGATTCAACTTTACGATAAGAATGTTGATTTTTCTCTTTGATTCATTACAATAGTCCTCTTATATTATCTGAAGTTATAAAGTAGCCATAATATTATAAGATAAAGGTCGTGAAGGCCGAGTATAGTCGAATTTGGTCTACAGCGCTCTTTGCTGCCTACAGTGCCTCTTTGGTGGATGACAAATTATATAAACACATGAACATACCTTTAAGCTGATGGTTTTAAGCTCAGCTAACAGGTACAGGTCCATAAAGTACTCCTGGCAGAAGAGGCACGCGCCCTTCCGTCGCCCATCAATCGTCGATGCCTGTAATCAAACAGAAAACACAGTTAGTTAAAAAAAGATGAAATTTAGGACACAAAATTAAATACAATAGAATCTAGACATAGTTTCCTGGGACTAAACGGTTTATCTTTCCTCTCCCACCTTCCACTTATCTCTTGCTTAACATCAGCGTAAAAGAGTATTATTGTTCTTTACTATTTATTCCTTCCTTCTCTTCATTTCCGCATTACAATTTCTGCTACCCTTTGCATTAACCATAAAAAAAAATCTTTAATTTTTACATGCGTACATAATCCGATGGAGTCTAATATCTGAATCCAACAATTTAGATTTTAATAGTGACCTGTGCTGAAAAATTTCAATTTTCGTATATTTACATTAGTGAAACTCATTCACTACTATTCAGTGAGAGTGCATGACGAAACGTTACTCACTACATTCGATAGTTCAATAGAACAAGCTGGTGCGTTAATGTAAACATAACGACATAACAATTACTATAGCATGTGTTAACAAGAGATAATCTATTGTGAACTCAATGACATGACTTTCGCAATAGTTAAAAGGTGACCTAAACAATTCGGTCAAGAAAAAGTATTAAACGAAGCCTTCTTAGTGAATTGTCAATGCTAAACTGGTGTCTGTCTTATTTCATTTCACATCTTTGAGTATAACTAACTTCACACTCAACCAAACTGATCATACATTTTGTATCATTCTTGTGTAGTTGACCTATCTACATTTTGGTACCAAATACCCTTAGTACCTTACCGAAGAATGGTAAACAGAGATTTATCAAAAACAAATTAATTCTGAGAAGCATAGAAGGAAAAAATAGTTTTTATAGGCACACGTTACAGGACAATCAGTCCTAAGCCGTGGTAACCAAACCATACAATTGTAGGTAACTTCACAACAATACATGAATAAACAAAAAATGAAGTATGAAGTAATTCAAGTGCGGGATAGCCATGATTCAGCACGAATGGGTCAGCTCGACCGGAGTGATACCACGGCCATACAAAATAGACGTGAAACAACGTTTACGTTGTATTTCGTCGTGTGAGGTTACCGGAGGCCCAATTACCTCCCTCGCCCTCCCCAATCCCTGAATCTCCAACAATCCTCAAATTCCTAATCACTAAAAGGCCGGTAACGCATCTGGTGTTCCGGGTGGTCATGGGCGACGCTGATTGCTTCATCCTTCACCCATCTGGGCATCGGTACGCTCGTTTGTCGGCTTATTCCACAAAAAGAAACAGTTTTGGGTCAGCGGTTATTCAACAGTTATTATTCTGTGTTATAAATAACATTATATCTTTACATAATGGGTAAGAATGTTACATTCTTAACGTTGGTATTTAGTACGGCCGAGTTTAGATGTTTTAATTAGACTTGCTAATTAGTAATGAGTAAGTTACGTTTGTTTGTTATGAAATATTAAATAAGAAGTAATAAAACTATTATGCAAGGTAGTGTGACTGTTTATAGCGTTGTTCTGAAGTTTTTCTAGCATAGTACGTGGCTAAGGGCCATCTTAAAACACCATATTTTGAACAAACGTTTCAACAGTTCGAAGCAATGCTATGTAAAGAATTGTTCTCATGAACGTCATAATCTATGGCAGTCATTGTAAAGTGAGCAAACACGCGTGACTTCCCTTTTTAAGCCCCACCGTGATAACATTTAACGAACTAGATCGTGACTGGAAAATATTACTGACTTATTGCAGAATATAAGAAAAAGCAGTACGGTAAAAGAACGGGAGGCTTTGATCCAGTGCCAAAGGAAAAGAAAATGTAAAGTGCTGTTAGATTAGGTCTAGTTCTGCCTAATTTAAGTGTTTTATCGAAAGAATGTCGCCCCTATATCTTTATAAAACACTTTAATCTTTCTTTAAACATGACTAAATTGTTGACACGATTGCCTAAAACAGTCATTTAAAGTTGACACACATACGGACGAAACGTTTTAGTACTTTAACGACCTCGTTCCCTAGTTCAGCGTGGAACATGCCTGATATTTATAACCGTTTATTACGAAAAGTTTACGATCTTAGGGAAGGCATAAGAAACTATTATGGTGGTTAGATGCTGTGACCACCACGTCAAAGTTAGAACCAACTTTATTACTCAAAAATAGACCCTTTCATATCTTTTATAAAAGAGTGAAATATACAAAGCCGAAGAAATCATGGTTTAAGGTTAAAAGAACTGCAAGTAGCAAGCAACATTTCGGATTAGATATAGGTATCCTCTGGCTGAAATGAAACACCCCTATTTTGGGAAACAGTTCTAGAAATTTCGAATTACAGATAGAAATACTCATTCACATCGGAAGTCTGACGATTCAATATTTCTATCCATTTAGGTATTGTCACAAACATGGCGCCGAGTTCTTGGTACACCATTTATCAGTTGTATCTAGTTGATTTCTTCACAAGTAACATTGTCAGTTTCTAATATTGATGCGAATTCTACAGCAAACTGTCACGCTCTTTACTTTTGTAGACACGAATTCCTGTTACATGGAGTTTTTGTCACCAGAACCTTTTATAGACATAAATTGGTATGTGACTGACATATTTTACCTACTTTACTGATACTCAGAATTCGTAATATAGAAGTACGGAATTAGAGAATGATGCAGGAGCTACTTGTGGAGAACGGTCCAAGGTGGCATGTCGAAAAACCTACAGATGCCAATAAGTAAGGTGAGTTAGGTGTCAGAGCCGTGCGAGTAAAAACTTTCAGATATCTTAAAAGTAAAAAGACGATGAAGAGATTAAACGGTCTGTTGGAGTAATTCAAAGAAGTATGTAAGGATCATACCGGTTTTGTTGATCAATAGTATCTGCCTTTCCTCATCAGACAAAGGCACAGCTTAATGTATGTAAGTCTGTGGAATGACAAGGTTCCCGTTCCACCAGATCTAGGCAATGAATTACCTCAACAAAACAGTACTATTTACGTAAACATATTGTCTACAACACACGTTTGAGATAGTATCCTTGCTGGTGAATATTCATGAACCGTATTGTCTGCAAAACACCCACAGCGTGTCATATTGTCCATTTGTTTGTACAACTCTCGATTTTAACAAGGACTAGGTAGCTGTTAATACATATTTATAATTAATGGGGCAATGTTTCGTGTTGTCGCCGAAGGCTTATTTTTTTCCCTATAAATTGACTCACTTGGGGATATTTATGATGTTGACTTTCTGTGTTTCCTTAATTGCTTTCTGTGGACATTTGGATTGACTTTTTATATTCCATTAAAAATGTAAACAAGTGTTGTTTCGCCCCTTGAGGGTAGGGTGGGACTTTTATGGCAGATGTTCCATCCAATCATCTGAAACTACTTTCACTTGTAATTGAGATTTTTCCCAAAAAGGTTAAAATAAAGACAATTGCATTATTACTCATTCTGTTTTCTTTCTCTATAAGGAGCGTAGTGTCATTAAGGCGACTGTTCTCTTTGTTACCATCACAAATGTTATATTTCAACACTTGGTACGGTTTTGTATACTCCGCAGCATTATTCGAAAGCTCATTGTTGCAAGTTTCATGACTCATCGTGACGTTTTGAGGTCATAGGGCTTTACACGCCGAGTTTCGTTGTTCCTACCAGCTTTCTATGCATAACACTTCATGCGAGTTTTTAGCACAAACGGTTGTACTTGTATTGGTGTGCTGCCTTTTTGAGAATTGACTTTAGACAGTCAAATGACTTTATGCCCTAACTGTGGGATACGAAAAGCTATTTTTGCATTTCAGTTTTATTTTCGCTGTGGGTTATGAATGTTATGATATATAGAACATGACCATGCTTCCAAATGACGATGCCCAGAGGGGCAGAAAAAGCAAACACACGGGTAATAAAAACATTGAATAGCGGTAACTATATCCCAACACAACACAGCATAGTAGAATTAATTTAAATAACTATAAACTGCGAACATGTTCAATTACGCTTTTAGTAGTAAATAAATGTTATGAATATATACAAAGAAATAACATAAAACAATAGTCTAACGCGATTACAGGACCGTATCAATAACAGGCATAGGGTACAAAATGCTGCAACAGCCAGTGACAAGATAATGCGAAGCGTTTACACTCCAAGCACCGTTAGCTGGTCGAGACGTATGACAATGAAGGCTGAGAGAGGATAGTAATACTTTTTACATGGATAATCAGAATATATATTTTCAGCTAATAAAACAAAAGATTGCGAAGCAGATCCCTAATCTTCTAATGGAGAGCTTGGGGACTAACGGATTCATGGAGGTCTTTTAGATCAACATAGATTTATCAACATTAAAATTCTTATTAGTTAGGATCATTCCAATATATCCCATAGAAATTGTTCTTGCCAGTCACCTTGCAATAATACTAGCAAGGTTGCTAACAACGTGTCATGGATACAGTGATGGTGGTGTCATTAGCTGGAGGAATAGAAACTTGGAGGTGCGATGGTGCGCAACGTAACGTCACGGAGTCTGTGCACTCGCGCATACAGCCAGCCACACCATTGTACATGCACATGTTTTATTAAGTGCACATTGTCACATAATAAAACATAGTCTAGTTATCAAATATTGACAAAGAAGATTATTGTTAGATCAAGACAAAGACGTGTCCATCGGTTCCGTATTTTGCATACTATGGAGTTTCATAGTAAAGTACACGCTTCTCCGTTCAAACAATAGTCCGCCTAGGTATAGTATGTGTACTAACGATACAAACAAGCAATTGCATTCTAAGAAAAAAGTGTAAGTATAATAATAGCATTAAATAGTCAGTTAATGTTCAACGGAGTGTATCCAACACACATATTTCAACAATAAAATATATAAAATAAGAGCAACTTTCCAGTGGCGATGTGTGAGATAATATGGCGGAAGACGGAACGCGCTCGACTGCAATCAAATGTATCGCTATTATGAATAAAACAACAATTTGGTATAACATTAGAACAATATTCAAATTACTTTTGGTAAGAAAGTTTATGGCACGTTAAATGTCTGACTCGATAAAGTCAGACTACAAAACGG